GTGTGTGTGTGTGTGTGTGTGTGTGTGTGGTGAACTCATACCAGGAAACCCTCGCTGTTTCAATAGCACTTCATCGACCAGCCTTGTAAAAGCATGTATGTTGTGGGAGGAACATGACCTCTCTTATATACGCACACATTAAAATGCATATATATTTTGATTTCAGGTATGAAAGCTTGTTCCCTGTGAGATAGTTTAACTTAAGCTAACCATACCAAAAATGTACATTAGGTTGCTTTGACCTCTTGTCTTTTTGATACTCCATTATTTGGTTTTTGGTAAGGTGAGTTATATCACTATTGTTCTTACTTAATCTTACTTTTAAAAATAAAATCCCTAAACCTAAATGTTAGATACTGAGTGTGGCTTGTTGAGATTTGGCTTATAATTTTTGCCTGGCATAAACAGGTGCAAAAATTTGTGGTAAATCAATATATATCACCAAGGCCAATATATTGGCTGCTATTTGTAATTTTTTAATTATCAGCAATTAGCATTTGTTATAATTTACAATTTTTTGTAATGATTTATAAAAATGCAACTGTTCATTGTTAGTTCATGTTAGCTCAGGTTCAATAAATAATATTAGCAGATAAACGTTTTTATTTTAAGAATATATTTGTAAATTATTTAATTAATATTAATGAAGAGAAGTATTTTTCATTGTTAGTTCATGTTAACTGTTTTTTAGATCAAACTTAAAAGTTGCATACAAATGTTTGGAAATAAACTTGAAATAGTTCTGTACATATTATAAGTGGATTTTCTTTCTTGCTCTTTGTATTTCTCACACAGAACCACTGTGAGTTTTGTAGCGTACTGCTGCTCTAGCTATTGTCTGAGGACGTTTGACCTGCAGGGCTGACGTCTCACATCTGCTCATGGTGCTTTCATCTTCACGAAGGACTTGAAGAATATCACCAGAGATCACCTGAGCTTCTGAGACATTTGACAGAAGATCTTGATAACAGCCATTACAGTATGTCCTCCTTCTGTGTGTAGCAGCATCTAACAAAAGCAGCAGTTGGTTAATACTGATTACATTTCACAAATGAATGTAGAAAGAAATGAAACAAAGTGTATCAGTGGCCCATACAAACTGTGAAGTGTTTGTTTGTGTTGGGATTGTTACGGTGTACTGTAACCAAAAAGGTTCAGGCTTTAATCGGTGGAGGTTTCTTGAGAAACTTAACATTTATTCTGTGTTTTAAAGACTACCATTTTTATATACTTAAAACTGACGAGTTTTAGGTGAGATCTGGATGTTTTTGTTTCCATTTGAAAGGAACTTTACTGAAATGTCATGTTGCTTCAGATTCATATCTCATTACTGTTTTTAACCGTGACACAATACTTAACTTTAAAAGTGGCTTTTTAAAGATAAATGTGTTTAATTTCAATCTGAGGCTCAAGTGTTTGTATGCTGTTGGAAGTGACCGGCACTCAGCTCTTTTCAAAGAAAATCATGTGTGAAGTTTTGGAAAATAAAGTGTTATTTTTCAAAAAATAATGTTATAAAGTGCCAATTGACTTTTATGAAAAACATGCAGTTGATTGTATTGAAGGCAGCTTCAAGTTTTTTTTTCTATTTTTGTGTGAGATAATGTTTTCAAAAGACTAAGACACATGAATTGTGGAGATTTGCTGGTACTACACTACATCTGTCAGTCAGTGTGCATCTCTCAGTTTTGCTGCAGTAAACCATCGCTGTTCAGCTTTCAGTATTTAGAATATTCTCTGTCTCTTTAATTAGATGTGAGCAAGAGGATGACGTTCTTAAAGGGACAGTTTACCTCACCCACAAGCCATCCTAGGTGCATGTGACTTTCTTCTTTCAGACAAATACAATCAGAGTTACATTAAAAAAGTCCTGGGTCTTCCAAGCTTTATAATGACAATGAATGGGTGTTGAGATTTTGAAGCAAAATAAAGTGCATCCAATCCATCCATCATAAAAATCCTCCACACGGCTCCAGGGGGTTAATAAAGGCCTTCTGAAGCAAAGCAATGCGTTTGTGTAAGAAAAATATCTATATAAACTGTAATCTCTAGCGTACGACAGTTAGCGGAAGCTAGAGATTACGGTTTATAAAGTTTTAAATATGGATATTTTTCTTACAAATGCATCACTTCGCTTCAGAAGGCCTTTATGTGGAGTACTTTTTATGATGGATGGATGCACTTTATCATTTTCAAGGTTGTTGTTTTGATTTTTTTTTTTCTGTGTATGTTTGGTATGAAAAGATTTAATAAGATCTTACTGTTTGCAAATTGGCTTTGCAGACTGGAAGCAGGTATTCACTTCATACCATTCAGCTCTGACTTCACTGAAAGTGTAACATTCAGGCTTCTGTGTTTAGACATCTCATAAATCACCTTGAATGAAACGTGTATTGTACTAATATATTTTCCTGTTTCTGACGATATATATTCCCTGTGACAGGCCAACAGATGTCTCTCCTTCCTGCTGTTCATCTTCTCACTAAAATATCAGAAAATGACATTTAGTTATCTACAGTAAAGTATATTACTGTAAGGAGATTTTTTAAAAGTACGACAGTTAGCGGAAGCTAGAGATTACGGTTTATAAAGTTTTAAATATGGATATTTTTCTTACAAATGCATCACTTCGCTTCAGAAGGCCTTTATGTGGAGTACTTTTTATGATGGATGGATGCACTTTATCTTGCTTCAAAATCTCAACCACCATTCACTGCCATTATAAAGCTTGGAAGAGCCAGCACATTTTTTAATACTCCGATTGTATTCGTCTTAAAAGAAGAAAGTCATATACACATCTGGCTTGAGGGTGTGTAGATCGTGGGATCATTTTCATTTTTGGGTGAACTATCCCTTTAAGTTAATGTGTGGATGTTACTGTTACAGTTTTCTTAAATAAGCCAGGTCTTCTACAGAATTTTCTCTTAAGAGTGTTAGTTCAGCTAAACTTGTTACATGTTACACTGTCATTTTATTGGCACTTCTAACTGAACAATTGTGCTCTTCTTGTAATGTTTGGCAATAATAACCATGTTTAAAACCTCTCTTGTGTTATTTCTTATTTCAGATGTGTGCTTATTAAGTTAAATTTAATTCATATTGAGCCATTTTGAATTGTGAATGTAACTGTCTTTATATTGTGAAGATGCAATTGATGCATCAAATACACAGAATCATCTGTCTCTGAGACAGGTCAGAGCTGGCATATTGTAGCAAGGCTTTTATCCACCTTTTTCTTGCCGTAAAAATGGGCCGGCCATTTGTAAATTCTATGGGTCTAGCTTCCGGTCTCATCTGCATCCAGCTATTTTTAGCTGTACAAAACAGTTCGTTTTGCTGCTTGATATTGAAAATTGGTGTGTCTTACCATATTGTTTTAATGTATTATCTTAATTATGAACACACTGGTTTGTAGTGCAAACAGTTTTACCGTTTACTGCACGTTGTTATTCTTGTTGTTATTTGCCTATAACGGTTAATGATCCGGAAGTCTCGCCCATAGGCTTACTTCCGCGTTGAAGAAAAAGGTGGATATGGCATTCATCTTTACACAGA